CGTAGGGGTCCAATGTTACCCCAAGACTTCTTCTTGCTACCTATATACTTGAAAAAGGACTTTTTGTTATCCTTAATCCCAGAAGCTAATCTAAACTTCAGTGCTGCTTTAGCCTCCCTTACCAAATCCCTACAAGCTCGGATGAGGGAGGTGTACTCCTCCTTTGTTACTGCTCCCTGCTTCCACCGCCAGTATGCTTTTTTCTTTGCCTTCAGGTCAGCCTGGATATCCACGCTCAGCCATGAAGTTTCTTGGACCCTTTTCCTGCTTTCCTGCGCAGAGGAATTGCATCCTGCTGCACCCCAAGGAAAGCCTCCTTGAGGAAGGACCACCTGGACCCCCATACTAGTTACTCCCTGGGCTCCCAGTGCCTCCCTGACTACTGCCCTAAGCACATCGAAGTTGGCTTTCCTAAAGTCAAGCATTTGCGCTTTGCTAGTTACCCTCCCCACCTTTCTCTGAATAGCAAACTAGATCATTTCATGATCACTGTCCCCTAGCCTCCCTTGTACTAGCACCTCCCCCACCAGGTCGTCCCCAGAGGCTAACACCAGATCCACTATGGCGTTTTCCCTAGTGGGGACAAGTACCTCCTGCACGAGGTGTAGGTCCTGTACGCATGTCAGGAACCTTCATGAGTGGCTAGACCTGGCCGACTGCTCCTCCCAGTTGATGTCAAGGTAATTCATATCCCACATGACCACAACATCTTTTGCATGCACGGCCTCCCCCAGCTGCCTGGAGAATTCCAGATCCAGCTCTTCCTCCTGATGTGGTGGCCTGTAGTAAACCCCTACCATTTAGCATTTCTTTAAGATGAAAGGTATACATATATTCCTTATATATTACTATTAAAGGTATTGAGAGAAATGCACTACTAAATATTTGGCTATTCCCATCAGGCTAGATGAAACAAGGCCATGTTTATAATACATTTGACTGTTGCTAGCAATTTACAAGCAAGATTCATAGTCTATTTTTGGTTTCTTGGAGTTCCTGTTTTCTGTAGTACCTGTTTGCTACTGTTTACATGAATCAATGTGTTGTTTTGGTCTTTTCATGTCCATCCTAGATCTTGCTGAACCACCTACGCTATGGTTTCTCTGCATGATAAGTAACTATGTTTGAACAAATTTTTATCTGACTAAATTCTGCTGGCCACAGCCATCAGTTTGTTTAAATCTTCTTTTAAAATAGTAATGAAAAAGTAGCTTTGACAAACCCAAGCACTGTTCACACCAGGTAGTACAACTGTTAATTGTGTTAACCAAAGCCATTTAAAAAATGGGTTTAAGATGTAGTATAGAAAGGGTAAAAGTTTATGTTGTCTCTCCTCTCCATTTTGTATACTTGTGTAAACAAATAATCTGTTGAGGCCTTTAAATATTCAAAATTTAAGTGCAAGAACTGAATGTACAACAAACTTTTTTTTTAGAAACAGCTCTTAAGCAGCACCCCTGGTCCAAATCACAGCTCAGCTTTAAGGAAATGTGGGGCTAAGTTAAATGGCAAACTTCCTAGCTTGACCCTGACTTTATGCACATTGGATCTGATGCTTAAAACGGTAAAGTCCTGTCTTCTCTCCTGGAGCAGAAAAAATAGCATGTTTGGGCCTGTTAACAGACAAGCAGTGCCCAAGCTCCCTGGTCAGTGTTCCACCTTCTCTCTCATGTAGAAGCACCAGTGCTTCTGTTATGTAGCATGCTATATGTTCACTTTTTCATTGCTAAGGCTTGTTGTAATTCATTTTGTGATGTTCTGGTAATATTTTAATATGAAAGGTTTACATTTTATATATAATATATATTATGAATTCATTTATGTGTATGTATGTCTAATGAAATGATGTTATTCAGAGAAGGGAAAAATATACTTCATATACAACCCAAACATAGTTATTAATAATTATCTTCAATCTATGATGTATCTATCCAGAGGCCTCAGAAACACACTGGTTCTTAGGTGCCAAGATTTTCAAAAACAAGGGCTTGAAATTAGCCTTCTAAGCCAGTGGCCAGCTTTCAAGAGGAGCAGAGCAAGTCATAGGGAGTAGCTGAGTTTCCCTTTGACTTCAGCAGTGCGTGACATTTGTACTTCTGGCTGTCATGAATTCTGAGGTATCACATCTTCAGTAAATGTAAGCCTGGTTCCTGGAATAGCAGTAAGTTTTTGCTTTGGTCTAGGGCCTTCTACAACAAAACCCAGATCTTAGTATGCTTTTTTTCTTTTTAGACTTTTTCCTTCTTTAATCCTTTCCATAGTTGTGCACTTTACATTCCAGCAGCAACCAGCAATCCCTGTCATATCTGCCAGCTACCCTACATCATTTCAATTTGGGGAAGATCAGCCAGTTGTTTTAACTAAGTCTGAAACGATACTTTGGGCAAATCCGTTGTTTCCTATGAGAAACAAAACAAATATACAGGATGGAAATGGGTAGCAGGATCTTTATGTCATCTCACTTACATATGGAAGATGGCTTCAAATATTATAAAGACCTTGGTATTGCACATAAATGTGCCTGCTTTAAAGGTAAAGACCTAATTCATACCCCAGAGAACATAGTCTAAAATGGTTCTATCACTGCTCCCAAAGAGGGATCAAGCTAGGTACAAGGGTGCACTAATGTGAATCTGTTTGCAGGATTGAGACTTAAATTAAGGTGGGAATAAAGAAGGTAGAGAGGAACACAGGTGGTGCTTAATCATCTGTAGAAGCTGCATTTTTCCTAACATATACAGTCATGTCCCTGCACCTGTATACTTTGACTTGACCGTGTTAACAGCTTGTGACAGTGCTCTCTCCCCACCCTCATTATTAATCTGTCCTAAGGAAATAAAGTTTTATAGGAAGCTATTCTTTAAAGGGCTATTAAGTTTACATTCTTGTACATTTTTATTGGCAGCAAATCCTAATTCTTAAAATTTATGGACCTATCGGAGACTTTTATGGCCTTCTCTGGCAGCCAAGAAAATCGCATTGCAGCACTGAAAACCATCAAAAAGCACAGGGAAGTCACAGGAGTTGTGCACTGAATGTCCAGAGTATGAGCTACCAACTTAAGAGAGCTGCCTATAAAAAGAGACCAAATACTGAGGACCTTTGAAAAAGATCCTGTCTTTATTTCTTTAGACTAGGCAACTGAACTGATTTGTCATGTTGGAATACATTAGGATTAGCAATATTGAGAATGTACCAAGGCCATGAATTTCTTCTGACTGTAGTTTAGTAAAAAATATTGTAGTCTTTCCATTTTTTCTTTTATTATAGCAAAATATTTTTCTCTCATTCTCTTGAAGGGAATGATAGGGGAAACAAACAAGTTTGCTATCAGTTTGCCTTCAAAATTAAGAGAAAAATGATCATCTGTAGGCAGTGAAAAAATACAAAAAAATTAAATTCTTTTACAGTCTTTTTTTTAAATGTTTCTGAAAACATTAATATTTTGTGGGGAGAGGGGGAAAAGAAAGGTTCCAGTGAAAATTAAGTTGTAACCTAAGCTACAGTGACCACGACCTTCAAATACTGAAATAGAAAAAAAAATATGCGATAGAAAGTAATTAGCTTGTTTAAAGACAGGGTCCTGTCAATATTTATTAATAATATGCACACACACCTACCTATGTGTCTACAGGTTCATGGCCTAATTGATTATCCTGTATCCAAAAGTATTTCACTCATTTATTCTGAATTAGTCCAAAAATAAATGAGTTAACAAATATATATATATTTTAATTACTATTAAAAATACTGGCAACATATTTTACATGCTAGACTGCTGAGAACTTCAGGATTAAGATTAATATTCAGGAAAATACAGGATAAATTAGAATCATATAACCGGGTCAGATACTGTTTTTAAACCAAAAGAGCAAAATATGAACTTCTTGCCATGACCATACCTGTGAAAACAATTGATCCCCATCAACTTCCCTGGAGATGATAATCAAATGTAATGGGATGGTGCATGGAACTATTATTATGTTATGTATTATTTGACTGGATAAATTTAAAGAGTAACAATCAAGCATAAATGGAAACCCAAAATAAGCTACAGCTTGAGAAATCAACATATTTTTGTGCTCAGATTTGTTATATTGATAGAGGAAAGGAAATTCATGCCCATAAATATGGAGAATATCATGGAATATTTAACACATTAGTATCACTAAATATTCCCGAGAGTTTATGGAAGTAAGATGAAAATAAAAAAGAGTTTCAAGTATGGGAATGGAAAGTATGACATTCTGATCAATGGCAAGAGCCATTTCTGAAAATAGCAAGAGCTACTCACGTCCTATCAGCACATGATTTTGTACTGGAGATAATGAAATCAACTGTAAACCACACTTACTTATTTCAAGGAAAGTCTCTGTATGCAGATACTTATAGCAGAATAAGACTATCCTATTTTGATTTTGCTTACTGACTTGCATTACACTGAAATAGGATGTCCATATTCAGAAAGGGTCAACAAGAAATTTGCCCTGGAAAAATTGAACGTATAAATTAAAATAGCTCGTGTTGTCTCAAGACAAGTTTGATTGTAGACCAGAGCTAAAGCAGAGGATTGCCTACTCTCCTCCAATACCTGTACCTAGTGACAACACACTTCTGAGGAAAAGTTTAACTGTATTTACTGCTGGATTTTTATGCCTTACCTGATGCCATGCACGCCTAATTGATAAAAACCCTTCAAAGTACAGGGGCAGAGCTGTGATCCTCTGTCTTTCATGGAAGATTCTCCGTGGGGCTGGCTTAGGGATTTCTTCAAGATCCCCCATCCTGCTTTCTGTCCCCTGAGGTGTGGATGTATTTTGTTTTTTTCTCTGTCTATTCTTGTCTGCTTGTTCTCAGTCTTGGGCAGAAGAGAGCTTGCTTTGGTGTGAGTTAAAAAAGGCAGCGGTATAAAGAGGAAGTCTCAGCAGTTACTGTTAAACATGTACCACAAATGCGTTTTGCACTGTAGAACATAAGTCAGAGTAAGGTTAATTGGTTTAGAGGGGACTCTCCTAGAGTGTAATTTATGGTTATGCACCTTGACTTGCAAGGAAAAAACATGAAAATAATGATGATCCTGATAAGATCATCATCATTATTATTCTTGGGGAGTTGGCAAAGAAAGCTAACAGGTTCTGCACTTCTTACTGGTGACCTGCAAAGGAAAGGATATTATTTTACTCTTATTTCCTTTTGACTTCAAAATAAAATTCTGCTTATGGTTTCTTACGGTAAGATTATCTGTTCACTATTGTTTTTGTAGAAGATTCCCAGGAGTTAGGAAATTAGGTGGGGTTTTGGTATTATAAAAGTAATTGATAGAGGAAGGGGGTTTTTTGGTTGTTTTTTTTTGGAACTGTGTTTTGTTGTTATACACAAGTGTGAGTGAGATTTCTGGTAGAAAAGAAGTCTTTGTGGAAGATCTAAAACTTTCAAGTGATGGCTGAGTGAAATACCTTTCCAAGGGTGAAATCCTGGCCTTTAGAAGTTAATGGAAAATCTGTACTAGCTTCAACAGAAATATGATTTAATTCTAAATCTCTTCCCTTTCCAGGAATATTTTAGCTAAATCAAGAATAGCTAGACCCAATATTGTGATTTTTCTAAGGTAAGAAACACCAAGAAAAGTGGACTTGAAAAATCTTTTCAGGTATTCTCCAGAGAAAAAGGGAAAATATTTTTTCTTTCATGTTATGGCTCATATTCAAGGGTATTTGGCTGCAGCTTGCACACAAGTTCAACAAGACTTTAGGGTAGGTAAATAGCCAATTACTGTATCTCTGGCCCCTGGCAATGGGCTAATATTGTTACTATGCATTTAGCATTCTTACTGTATATCAACAGGTTACAATGTGACCTAGCAAAGGTTTCAGCCACAAATGGTGTTCTAGGTTAGCTCAGGTGAAGACCCCTGGCCTGCATCTAGATGAGTGCGGCCATGTGGTGTGTGGCACCACAGACCTATCTGTGGCACGACACACCGCAGATTCAGGCGTTTCCTGCACTCCTACCTTGCAGTACAGGAGATTTCTTTGACCCAGGGAGATCACAGAGTCAAAAAACCTCATGTGGAAAAAAAACATGGTGGTGCACATGGCTGGAGCATGTGCTTCCCAAAACCGGAGCATGGCCTGCTAGAACCATGGTCTGGCTTCCAGCCAGGCTCCAAGCTGCAGGAGCACCATGGCTGCAGCTTCCCTGGCCCCCAGGTAATGTAGCGAAAATAGATACTTTTCTCTATGTTTCTTTGTTCCTTGTTTTAGTATTAACCCCTGCATTCTGTAACTTTCCACCCACATGGTACAGGATGGCCCACTACCTATGTCTTACAGGTTGCTCAGGTTTTGGTTTGAAATGACCAATTAAAATGTAACACCTCAACTGAAAAGAATGCTAGCTCAATAAAAGCCAGGTGTGCTCTTTGTTTAGGGTCGACACTGATCTGAGCAACAAGCTCCTCTGTCGGCCTGCTTGCAAGCAATAAAATAGAGTTGGATCCAGCCTGAAAGTGTGACTCTCTTCTAGAGGTGAATTGGACTAGCCTCCAGGGGATAAAATCAGCAATTTATGCAACAGTAAGGCTGCTGGGGCCAGCATAGTTGCTGGCGCCAGCCTCCCCTTCCCTACCTGGGGTAACCTGACCCGTGCTAGAGGGTATGTGGCACAGGCATTCCCCGGGGACAAGTAGCAGCTGCACAAGGTGTGCTGCTGCTGCTTGTCCCCGGGGAACGGAATGTCTATGCTTGTCTGGATGCAGCCTTGGAGTTTAAAGCATAATTTGCTAAATAATACTAGACTTGATTTACTACTGCCTTTCAGTGTATGCAGTTGTACATATCTGTACAAAACGAAGGCAAATGAGAATAGTAGCATTATAGTTACTCTGTGAGGGTGGGAATGGGTTTGCAAAGTGGAGGTCAGTGGGGAATTGGATCCCCCGATTATTACTTGCTATAAGAAAAATTCTGTGTTTAATTACTTCAGAGCGCATTTTGAAATGTTAGTCTGTTCTCTTTAACTTATCTTTTCAATTCTCCAGCTGAGCATGCAACATTCCCATTTTGATTTTTATACTAGGCATTTAAGAAAAAACACATACCAACTCTAGCTAGTCTGTACTGTACTTCTAAAGAGCTGATAGTTAACCTTCTTTAAAATATTACCCCAATTACTCTGCCTAGTGGAAATGTAATTTTCCCTGTTTCCAAACTGAACCCCATTACTAAAAAAACTCTCGTGGATTCTGGTGCTTTTATAAAATCATAAGTATGATGAAATCAAGCCAAAGCCACAATTTTTTGTTTTCCAGAAAAATATCTTTCCATTAGATGGATTTGCCTTAAAGGGATCCTTCTGTACTTTCTGTTTAGATGCTAATGTAATCTACAGGAAACCTGCCTAGGTATTGTTTATGTTTCTTGTACTGCCCTCTGCTGCTGCAGAGCGCCTGCAGAAGTGAAAGGGATACAGTTTGTAGCTGTATTAGTGTACAGACAAAAGGAATTGGGGCTCATGACAGAGGTCATATCTTTTATTAGACTAACTAGATATTTGCAAAAAAAACCCTTTATTTGCAAGCTTTCAGGCATAATCACCTTTCCTCAGGGATAGGAGAATGTAAAGATTGTAAAATTGTTCTGAGGTGGAAATGAAAATTCATACTTCATAGGAAAGCAGAAGGTGTTGGAAGATCTCCTGGTTTGATTAGTTCATTTTGTGCAAATTAGGCTCAGACATTGGCGACATGCACCCCCGTGGTGGCAGTGCACCCCCTGCAAAAAGGTGCCGCCAACACTGCTGGTGGTGCCTGGGGGCAGTCACTGCTCACCCCCCACCCCGCTGACAGTAGTGTCTGCAGACGGTCCATGATTGCTGCTGCCTGCCGCCAGCCGCGTCTGCGGGTGGTGGCTGACCACAGGCCAGCACTCACCACCACCCCAACCACTGCTGCTGTGGCCACCTGTAGGAGCTTCCCACTTGCCTCCACCATGCTCCCACTGCTGACAGTGCCACTGCTGCCTGCAGGAGCTCAGTGTGCCCCTCTAGCCTTCCGGGGCATGCGGTGTTCATGGGCTTAGAGAAAACTTAGAACAGTCTATTTAGCTCGATGTTGGCTGGTGTCAAATAGGATGTTGAATTATCTTTCCTTCTGGTTATGATATTTCATATTTCACAGGAACCTGGGGTGATGAAAACTTCTCCTGGGCAGGAAATTATCTTGTGCTGAGGCAGCTTGAGCTCTGTTAATATGTAGATTTTGCTGGAACAATGGGTAGGAGCCAGAGTGTCAGCTTTCAGGTTCAGGTGGTGAATTTGCTTCCTTCTTGTAAAATTATGAAGTTTTCATTGCAAAAGAAATTATGTTTCATTTGAATACTGGACAGGAATCTGTGAGGGTGACACTAAAGACAAGAGCTGGTAGGCATTGGTCGACAAGCAAAACTGATGATGTGATGTTACCCCAGAGGCGGTAGAGTTGGCCCCAACAGCCTTACCTGGCACTGTGCTGGCCCCAACAGCCTTACTTGGGCTCCTGGGAGCCTCCCAGGGCTGCAGCAGTGGTGATCCTGCCAGGCAGAGCCTGGCTGGCAGTCTGAGTGCAGTTCCAAAAGCCCTGATTCTGCTTTTCAGCGGTGTGTGCTGCCTGTGTGTGCACTGCTTTGTTTTGTTTTTTTTCCCATTAATTTTTTTTTGACCCCTGGATATCTAGGGGTCAAAACCCCTCAGAGAAACAAACCAAAATATGGAGTAGCACATACACAGGCAGTGTGCCCTTGCAGTGCAGAGGACACCTGACTGTGAGGTATGTGGTGCTGCAGATGTGTTTGTCGCACCATATACCACACGGTTTTGCTCGATTGGATTGTGAGCACCAGGGCCAGCTACAGATGTTACACTTTTAATGGTATAAGTGATCAGAAACTGGGCTATACCCATTACAGAACAGAAGTTCAGCACACAAAACCGGTCAATACCTGTAATACAGGGGTGGGCAATTATTTAGGGTGGAGGGCAAGCCATTGAGGGCCACATGACAGGCAGCCAGGGGCAGATAAATATTAATTTTCTACATTTTTTAGGGGCCCCGCAGGCCAGATAGAACGGTACACTGCTTACAGAAAACTGTGTAACTTAGATAGATTCTGCCTCAGGCTTTCTGAATGTCTGTACCTAGCCACGGTGTCCAACTTGGCTAGAAATTAGGCTCTAGTGCCCAGATATGGGCACCTAAAAACTGAGGCCAAAGGTTTCCAGCACCACAAAAGCCTGGCTGGGTAGTAGCTCTTCATGCCCAGCGGGAGCTTCACGCGCTTCGCGGACTGGCGCTTCCTCCACCGTGCGTGCCTCAACTGCCTGCCTCTGAACGGGGCTGTGCGCTTCGGCCACTGGGACAAGAGGTGCTGATGGTGTGGCTACGCAGTGGAGACCCTGCCCCACATGTTGTGCAGCTGCAAGCTGCATGCCAGAACCTGGCAGCTCCGCCACAATGCTGTCCAGGACCACCTGGTGAGGGCCATCCCGGCCGTAGCGGGGGAGATCTTCGTGAACCGCACTGTCTCGGGCTGCGAGAGCCAGCTGAGCCCTGACATTGTCATCACCGACCAAGAGGCCAAGAAGATCATGATCGTGGATGTCATCATCCCCTTTGAGAACCGGCGCCAAGCCTTCACCGACGCCCGGGCTTGCAAGCGGGAGAAGTATGCCCCACTGGCCGACACTCTGAGGGGCCGCGGCTACGACGTGATGGTGGATGCGCTCATCGTGGGGATGCTCAGAGCCTGGGACCCCACAACGAGAGCGTACTCTGTGCCTGCCGCGTCTCCTGCCGCTACGACAAGCTGATGCGCTGCCTCATGCTGTCCGACACCATCCGCTGGTCCCGCGACATCTACGTGGAGCACATCATGGGCCACCGCCAGTACACCAACCCCACCAGACGAGCCACCGCCGGACTGGACCCGGAGGCACGGCCTGAACCCCCCCCGGTTCGCTTCACTTCGAGAGGATTCTTCCGCCACGGACGACCCCGCTCCACCCGAAGAGGACCCCCGCGATTGGACTTTATGAACTGAGATGCTTCCTCCGAGCCACTTCCTCCACCATTGCGGACCATTGTAACGGGTTTGTGTGTATTTATCTCCTTTCTCCCTCAGTGTCGCGAACCCCCTCCCTCCCCTTCCCCCTTCCCACATCCCCCACACCCAGGCTTAGTTGGCTAAGATTGTATAGCCTGTAACCTAGTCGTGTTCCCCTCCTCTCCTCCATCCCTCTATTGTTAGTCCCTCGCTCGCGCGCTTTGTATTTCCATATCAGCTTTGTCATCTTTTTTCTGGATTCCCCGTCCAAAACATCTACTAATAAAAATGCTGAACAGAACAATTAAAAAAACCCATAGGTTGCTGAGCTGAAATACTAGTTGTTCAATCACACAAGTAAGAATCTTACACAGGGGGTGCACTAGCTTTTTTGCTTGTTTACCCATCTGTGGGTCCTACAAACCATGGGAATGATTAGTTCACGAGTGAGGGGGTGGCTCAGACACAATGTTGGTCAACAACTCCTCTGTAAGAGGCCATCACTGAAATGATCTGGCACTGGCTGTAGGTCCAGGAAGCTTGGGCCTGACTTGCGGCTTCCTGCCAGTTTCCCTTTGGCACATCTTCAAAGCAAAGGCCTGACAGATGCACGATCATGCCTCAGCAGTCCAGTGCTCAGGCAGTGATACGCAAAGCAACACGGATGTGGGCAGACAAGCACACGAGGGACTCACGTGGGGGCACGAGGCAATGGCGGGCACAAACAGAACTGGTCTGCCCTTGAAACTGCCTGAAACCCCAGCCATGGGGGCAAGCATGCCAGAGGGCAGCATGTGAATGGGCAGGAGCAGGGGGCACTTGGCTCTACAGGAGAGGGCTGTCCAGTGCAAGGATGCCCGTGGGGGGAGGACTGCGTGTTCATTTCAGAGGACCCCTGTGTTGGGTATTTGGGCATGGGCAGGCCGAGGAGGTGCGAAAGGCTGGCGTAAGGGCTCAGAAGTGCAAGGCGGGGGTAGGGTGGGCGTGAGCAGGCAGGCGTGCAAAGGAACGTGGGGGTGTACATCTCTGCAGCAGGAACCCAAGAGCCCGCTCAGGCCAAACTCCGCCCAGCTCCGCAGAGACAACACGCGACTCTTCCTCCCTCCTCTCCTCACCTCAGTCAGGGGAAGGGG